TCTAATCCTATTCATCCTTTCTTATTATTAGTAAAGCAAAAGTATAAACAAACATTTTTAACGTTTCCATAGTTCTCAGCACCAGTGTTCCTATTTATTTCAATGAGGATTGTGTACATTCTGGGGAATTGCAGGACACACAAGAGCCAAAGAATACCTGGGGTCTATGAAGCAAATTATCATTTGATTCAATGATCAGGATTTGGGAGTTTATAAGACCTCTGTGCACTTATTGCTCAACTTTTACTGTTGCCCCATTAACTGATTAGGGACTGTCACTTGCATGTCATGTGTTCCCAACTTAGTCTTTGATCGTGAGGTTCAAATTAAACCCATGTGTGCACCGACCATACACAAGCTTTACTGTCGCTTACATTTCACTTCACTTCTTAAATTTTCACTTGCTGCATCTGGCCCAGGGATAGGCAACCTTCGACACCCCAAATGTTGTGGACTACATCTTCCTTGATGCTTTGCCAGCATTGTGGATGTAAGAGCATTATGGGAGATGTAGTCCAAAAAATCTGGAGTGCCAAAGGTTGCCTACCCCTGAAAATTTCTAGTCTATGGAAAATACCAGATACATTTCACATGGTGGCCTTTCTCTTTTAGGGCTTTGTCACCAGCAGTTTAGGTATTTGCAGTTTAACCTATGAGCTCAAATAATGATAATTTAAAAATAAATTCCTAGATATATGAATTGTTCACTATGTGCTCATACATAAATATATATATATGTATGAGCGCACATTGGAAAGTTCAGGCATGGTATCAGAAGAGTGAAAAAGAATGTTTTGTGATAATTGCAAAGTTTCCTTTGACATCAGCATTAATAAATGTCAAAGCAATAACACAGGAAGGCACCGCATTAATTGTGTTTAATGATTAATGAAACCAAAATAGAACAAGGTCTGTTGTGTGTAACGTGTTCTTGCACTTGTAGCATGAAACTCACGGTCACATGAGAATATGAAAAAAATAATAGAAAATATTACAGCAATATGTATCTCACTGCTCTCTACAAATATTATGGGTGTATTGTAATCTTTAATAAGCTCTTTAATGATTTTTGTAAAGGAGACAAAAGACAGTTATGTATAAAAAGTGATTGCTCAACTTTTCTAACTTTTCTCTACAATCCGCCCATAACATAATGGAAAGTTCCTACTCCTTGCTCCATTTCTAGAATGATGTTCCAAACTTTGTACACTTTCCCATTTGCCATTGTGTTTGTCCCATTTTGAAATATTGAACACTGGAATCTGTAAAAAAAACAAACAAAACCTTGCATTCACTAACTATCTCATTTAGATAGTAAAACCCGTATGGGATTATGACCTCCAAAAATAAATTAAAAGCCCAACAGAACTTGTGTGAATTTCTGTAACTGCGCCTCTTCCTTTGGAACCCAATATATCAATCTGGAAAAAAATGTTTTTGTGTTTTGTAATTTTAAATAATGTTGGTATCGAAAAGTTGGATAGATACAGACTTTTTAAAAATAGTTTTATTTTATAATTGTTATAAATCATGATACATTTTTAGAATTGGCTCGTTATTTTTCTAGAAAAGACACTCCTTTCCTGGCTCATGGCATTATTGATTGAAGAGGTATAGACTGCTAGGGGTATAGTTCTCAACACTCTCAGCAGGTTACAGTGATAAAGCACATTCTTAATTTCAGCTCAGGATAATGACAGCATAAGCATGTATTTATGAGGGTTGGATATCTAGGTGCAATGTCTATAGAAATTCTGCCAAAATGGGGCAAAGATAGAATGAACATAGTAGCCTAGAGCCTGATTTTATATCTGAATTATGGTTTATTTAATATATCTAAAATACAGCACAAAATTCTCAGACCCCCAGGGGACCCAAGAATGAGGAATATATACTACCCAGGAGGTGAGAAAATCAATTCTATATATGTATTAAGAAAGTAGAAGATGCCTCAAAATTATTGTGAGCATGAGCCAAGGCTTAATGCTGGGAAGTAGTCTGTTTAATGGAAGCACAATTACAGAATTTATACAAGTTACAAACTCCTCCTCTGTGCCTGAGAGATAATTAAGTCAGGAACTGTACTAACTCAATTATCTCCATGTACAGAAAACCACAAAAGTACCCCCAAAACACATGAAAACCCCACAAAGGTTACATCCCCTGATAGCCCCGATCTGGGTGACCAACATATCCAAAAATCACCCAGCTCGGTTCAGGACTGCTATGGAAGTCATAATTTGACTGACCGTGCACATGGTCCTATGCCCAAAACAGTTCCATGAAATCAGTGCTAACGGTCGGTCAAGTTCGGTAGTTTAAAAACAAACTACCGAACGTAATCAATGGTCATACCATGGAGCTTGTTCCCCTCATCCAGACAACTATTCCACCGAACAGTGCCCTTCCACGATGTACTGAACCGAACGCAGGCGATGATGGAAGTTCAGCGGTGTTCGGGAGTTCGAGTGTCCAATTTCATTTCCATGCCCTCGACGATTAAACACCGCTGCCTGGGGGCGTGGCTTGGCGGTCCGAGAAAATGGCAGCATAATCCTCGAGCTCCCCGCAGGCTCAGCTTATAACCTCGGCTAAACTGCACCCTGACCGCGGTGATGGGGAAAACCCACCGAGCATCACATGCCCAACGACCGGGGGATGCCCCAAAGGGAACCCCGACCCCGACAATGAAGCGCTACCTGCTCACACAGGCGGACATGGATCCGCAGGCCTCAAATGACTCCATGGAGTCGGCCATTTTCTCCCCACACTCCCCTACGAGGGAACAGACCCCCACTGCAGGGGATACCGCAGTACCAGACCTGGTGGCCCTACTGAAGGACTTACCCACCAAGGCAGACCTCAGGACGGCCAACGCAGAACTGCGCGCATCGATTACAACGGAACTCCACGCGCTGAGGGAAGATTTCCAAGGCCTCAACCAGCGAGTCGCTCAGATCGAGGCGGACTGTGACCACATGGCAGCGGCACAGGCTGCCAATACCGACACGCTGCAGCACCACACTACAGTGATGAGACAGATGGCCCTGCATATAGAGGACCTCGACAACAGGGGGAGACGCCAGAATATCCGGGTGAGAGGGGTCCCAGAGGAATTAGACAGTAAAGCCCCGGTACAGAGCACCTTGCTGGAGCTGTTCAACAGGCTCCTAGATAGGCCGTCCCAGACGCACATGGGCTTCGTTAGAGCCCACAGAGCCCTGAGGCCACAAGGACCCCCGGGCGGGCCTCCAAGAGATATCATCTGCTGCATGGAGAGTTTCCAGCTCAAGGAGGAGATCCTGCGTAAGGCACGTGCCACAGAAAAGGTACTGCTAGACGGATCAGAAATCCAGCTATACCCAGACCTGTCCCCAGCTACATTGGCCTACCGGCGGGCCCTGAAGCCCCTTACCAGGCAGTTGCAGACCACAAATATCAGGTACCGCTGGTGCTTCCCCACGGGCCTTCAAATTGCAACACCCTCTGGCCCCTTCATGGTCACGGGAGCAGAAGATCTGGAGACGATCCAACGTGAGCTGCACCTGTCGCCGGAGAAGCTTCTTTGGCCGAACCCGCTACGTTTCTACACAGAAGGCCCCAGGCCTCCAGGCACAGGCCCCAAACCCCGCAGGCTGCGGGCCCCCCGCACACAGACGACAAGACAGGCGGGGACACCGAATTGAATAAGCCGCATGCCCTGCCGCCCCCCGGGACTATGACCTCGTGAACCATGCCATGAACGGGATGACTTGTTTTTTCTTGATGCCTTGAAACCTTACTGCACCAACCAAGAGACATACAGCTGGGCTCTCACCTCCGGGCCCTATGTTCGTGAGGAAGCAGAGGGGCCGTAGACTTCCACCCTTGAGCCTGATGACAACGCACCTTTTTCCTCATCCATGCCGCAAGTATTACCCCGGGAGGTGGGGGGGCATGGGAGTACCGTGCTTCCCCACTGCCCGAGAACTTTGAGCCGAACAGGGAGGGGGAGGAACCGGGGGATCCTACGCCGGATAGAGTGACACTCCCTGCATGGGTCGGGTACAGGGAGAAGGGGATGGACGCTCTCGAGCCCTGGACCTTTATGTCTATGACCTAGGAGTAGTAGGCCCCGAGGTATACACCCAGCCAACCCTCGTAGACACACCAAGATATGTGGCCCCCAGGCAGGTTATGCTGAGATGCGCTGGGAGGGCTTTAGGCTACCACCACCTAGCCATTCACGGGGGTCAGAGGAGCCCATTGCACTGGATCAAGCTTTTCTAATTTCCCTCGAACCTTGACACGGAGGGCTGGGCGAGGGCTCTAAGACAGGCCATTGAAGGGTCACCCTGACACACATCCGCATGACTAGGGCGATTATCGCCCAACCGGGAGGGAATAGACCCAGACTGGGGCATTTCAAGTCACCTGGGGGCGGCAGGCAGGCAACTCAATATAGACTAACAACATCACATCACACCTGTGGGCCGGACGACCCACCGGCAGCGGTCATGACACAGACCATGCACACATTAGCCCATAGAGGTTTTCCATAAGCTACATTCCCAACTTGGAGAGCCATGAGACGGGGAGACGGGATGTCCCGACTGGACGGAGCTCCGGGGCTCGTAGCGGAACGTGACGATCTTTCTGGGAGCGTCCCGGGCCCGAGGGGCTCTGCCTACTTGGGGTTTCTTGGGCTCCTTTGCTACCCTATTGGCTGGAGCGTTCAGACTTGGGTGCGCAGTGCACTCCCCCTACCTGAGGGAGGGGGGGGACTCACTGCTCCCCCAACGCTCAAATCCATAACCCGCCGTATACGGCGACACTAATCCGTACCCGGTCCCTAGACCTAGAGGGTGCGATCCTCCCCTTCTTCCCCTCAGACCCACCCAGTTTTCCCCCGAGTTTCCCCACCCCATACTTTCTATACCTGACTACAGGACGGACTTTTTATACCTGACTAACGGACGGACGAACCTACGTCACCTCTGAGTGATAGACTCAAATCCAGCATGTCCCTGCAACCGGCCCCCCTCACAATATTCACGCTGAACGCTAGGGGACTCAACACGCCAGAAAAAAGGGCCGGGGCTCATAAGGATTTCAGGGCGGCCCACGCCTCCATAGTGTTTCTACAAGAGACCCATTTCCGGGCAGGCTCACGACCCACACTGACTAATCAACACTATCCAAAAGGATACTACAGCGACTTTCAGGGGGGTAAGTCACGGGGCACGGCGATTCTCCTACATAGACACCTCCCCTTCACAGAAACAGGGGTCATGACAGACCCAGAGGGCCGCTTCCTATTCCTCAAGGGGACGATCGCGAACACAACATATACCTTTGCCAATCTCTACGCCCCTAACCGCGGGCAATATAAATTCCTGGCCAAGACGCTCCGCACACTTGTAGGCTTTCAAGAAGGCATCCTGATAATAGGCGGAGACCTGAATGTAACACTGGACCCCAAATGGGACTCCTCCTCAGGTCACTCACACATTTCATTGCAATATCTTACGGCCATTAAAGCTCTCCTGACTAGAGCGAAATTAGTGGACTGTTGGAGAGCATTTCACCCTGACGAAAGGGACTTCACCTTCTACTCCAACCCCCATAACTCCTACACCCGCATAGACTATCTCCTAGTTCCCAGCCACCACATACCGTTGGTCCTACAGGCAGAACAGGGCACCGTGACATGGTCAGATCACGCACCGGTGACCATTAAACTACACTCCCCCCTCCATAGACCCAAGATCTCCAAGTGGAGGTTAAATGAATCACTGCTCACTAACCCAACGGTCACATCTGACATTGGGAAGACACTGCGGGATTACTTTACAAACAACACCTGCGAACAAACCCCCCCCACCATACGCTGGGAGGCACACAAGTGTGTCATAAGGGGGCATTTTATTCAAAAAAGCTCACTCCTGAAGAAACAGAGAGAGGCCCGCATGGCCGCTCTGCTATCAGACATAGAACAAGCAGACACACTTAACAAACAACACCAACTCCCCACACACCAGGCCAAACTCCTCCGCCTTAGGAGGGAACTGACCACTCTCCTCCACTCAACCTATCAAAGGGACGCATTACGAAACAGGGCCTTCTTTGCAATACACGGAAACAAAAGCGGAAAACTTCTAGCGCGCATGCTGGCCAAAAGGAGACAAGACACGTATATAGATAGAATCCGTGACAAAGCAGGGGTCCTACACAGACACCCGGCCAAGATCCAAGAAATTATTCGCACATATTATGCGGAACTCTACTCCCTCCCACGCCCACACACAGACGCACAGTCACACTCCCTACGGGCCTCAATAGACGACTACCTACAGACCCATAGGCTTCCCTCCCTGGAGGCTGACACGGCAGATCAACTAGACGAACCAATATCCATGGGGGAACTAGCACTCGCCATCAAATCCATGAAACCGGGTAGGAGTCCAGGCCCCGATGGCCTGCCTCTCAAATATTATAAAAGTTATGCCGAGACCCTGTATCCCCCACTACTGGCCGTGTTTAACGCCATCAGAGAGGGACATGAATTACCCACACAGGCACTCATGACCCATATCACCATAATTCCGAAAGAGGGCAAGGACCGGGAGCACTGCGGGAGCTTCCGGCCCATATCCCTCATAAACAATGACATTAAACTACTGGCCAAGGTCTTGGCGACCCGGCTTCGACCCCATGCGGACCAGGTGGGGTTTGTGATGGGCCGGGAAGCCAGAGACGACACCATCAGGGCCCTCACGATTATGCACAGAAAATCAGGGGACGACACAGGCCTTCTCCTGCTATCCACGGACGCGGAGAAGGCCTTTGACAGGGTCTGTTGGGAGTATATGTTCCAGGCATTGTCACACATGGGAATGGGACCATACCTGCGTGGATGGGTTAGGGCCCTATACACTCACCCGACGGCACATGTGCTGGTCAACGGGGCACCCACAGAGGCGTTCCCGATATACAACGGCACGCGACAGGGGTGTCCATTGTCCCCACTACTGTTCGTTCTGGCTTTAGAACCCCTACTAACCGCAATCCGTCACCACCCAGACATCAAGGGGGTACACATAGGAGACACACAACATAAGCTAGCCGCCTATGCGGATGACCTACTATTCTTCATAACCCACCCGGAAGTCTCCCTTCCCAACTTAGTGCAGGAGTTTCAGGCCTTTGGAGGGCTTTCGGGGTACAAGATTAACTTCTCAAAGTCCTATATCTTAAATGTAAGCATCCCCGCAAGGAGATCCGCACAGCTCCAACGGAGCTTTGCGTTCCAATGGGCCACAGACAAAATCCGATACCTCGGCACTTGGCTGACCGTTAAGGAATCGGAGTTATTCACAGCAAACTTCGCTCCGATACTAGCTCAGTTCCGTACAGACATGAGGGACTGGGCCCTCCCACACATCTCCTGGCTGGGTAGAATCCAAGTAATAAAAATGAACTTTCTACCGAGACTGCTCTACCTCTTCCAGGCCCTGCCCATCACGATCCCATCCTCTTTTTTCGCCACGCTCCGGCAGGCTCTAGGGGCATTTGTTTGGGACGGGAGGAGACCCAGACTGAAATACACACTGCTAACTCAACCCAAACACAAAGGGGGTCTGGCTTTACCGGACTTCCGACTATACTACAAGGCATGCCACCTGCAACGTGTTGCGGAGTGGTCCAAGACTGGGGTCAACAAACTATGGAAACAGGCAGAGGAGGGGATAGCTAAGCTCCCAGCCGCCCTTATCCCGTGGCTCCCCGCGGGGACGGACGGAAGGGAAGCGCATTACTCCCCGTATACGAAAGTAACTCTGAGGATATGGCGAGGCAATGCCGGTAGACACGCGCTCTCCGCACACCCGTCCCCATTGCTTCCCCTCACACATAATCCTGACTTCCCGCCGGGCACGGACCCTAGGGCACTGCGGGCCCTGGTGCAGGACCCAATGCCAAGGCTGCACCATGTGTGCTCCGGTCGGGGGCTGAGGACCTTGGCTGACTTACGCAGGGGTCACACACAACCATTCGCAACCCACTTCCACTACGCACAGCTGATGAGCTACATAAAGACTCTGCCCCGCGCAGGAGCCATTACTAGGGAACTCACCGCCTACGAACAGATATGCGCAGACCCTGACCCACTGCCACATGGCATCTCGCACCTCTACGCCCTCCTTCAAACACTCACACCCATGGCCGCGCCACGCTTCATGGGGAAATGGGAAGAGGCCCTTAATCACACACTTAGTGGGGCTGACTGGGAAAAGATCTGTGAGGTCACCCACCATTGCTCCATTTTTAGCAAGAGTCAGGAGACAGCATATAAAATACTCACGCAATGGTACTGTACCCCGGACACGACTCAATACACGCACGCTCACGGGTCAAGCCTATGCTGGCGGTGCGCAAAGACAACAGGTACACCCCTACACACTTGGTGGGCATGCGAACTCGTACAACCATTTTGGAGGAAAATTTATAAAATAGCTTCCCGCTTCACTGATCACCCACCACCATTAGACCCGGCAGCAATGCTGCTCCACCACACGACAATACCAATTTCTAAATACAAAAAGTCCCTTACAATTCGAATTCTAAACATGACCAAGCAGACTATACCACAATACTGGAAGAAAACAGAGACTCCTTCCATACTTAAATGGTTTACGCACATGGAAGAGCTACGAGCGGTAGAAGAGCTCGCCATGTCAGCTACTGAAAAACAACATCAGACATACTTAGACATCTGGACCCACTGGATACTGACCACGACGACACAAGACTTCCTGACACTACTCAATACCTAATGACAGGGAGTTACACCGGCTGGATAGACACATGGACGACGGACAGACCCTCTTCCTCCTTCCCTACGCTTACCTTACCCCCCACTTACCCTCCCATATACTAACATGGGGGATACCACCTAACTGTCAAAAGTCCAACAGACAGTGGCAACATACCCCCCAGTATGCATATCCCCCTCCGACATGGGACCCCTGCCCACTATATCACCACAGTCCGTCAATGACTAAGGTCCTCATTAGATGTGACCTCTTAAGAACAAGCCATGACTGGACTGCAATAGTCCCTCTCTCACATAAGGATAATACAACTATGTATACCTGAACACTAGAGGGGCAATAGCGGGGAGGGCAGCAGACAGCATAGAAGTAGGCAAAATGCCCAGCCCAAGGGGCTGACAAACTGGACGAAGATGGATGATCTGCCCCAAACAACACGGGAACGCGGGATTAATGAGAATTCTCTGGGGGGGGGGTGGGGGACTCTGTCTAACTAAGCTTTACCGTTGACTTAAGGGACCTGTGAGTCCGACTTTGTTATTGGGCCTGCGTGCCCGCCTTGTTGCATGTTTTCCTTTTTGTTTTTTTACTTATACGCTGAATCCAACCTATAGACCTGCGTGTCTGCACAATAATTACCTTTTACTCCCAATTACAGAAAATAAAAATTATATTTACAAAAAAAAAAAACACCGCTGCCTGCGTTCGAGGGAACAAGATTCGGCCATATGACGAACAATTAGAACACTGCGGTTGGAATCATTTTGAGGTGATGATAAAGCTTAACAAGCTCCCGGGTGGTGCATAGTTCATGCGGCTGTTCGGTTCATGAATAGCATGGAGAAATGGCACAAACACACTTTTTTTCAACATGGCCCATAGCCTTAAGGCAGGAGCCCGTGGCAAGGTTACTTTTGCCACAGTACTTCATCTGCTGTGAACATAGTACTTTCTTTGCTGGTTTAGTGAAAGAATTCCAAGTTTTGGTTTTTCAGCTTGAACTTCCATAATTCTATGTCAGTCCAAGGCTGAAGATAAGAGTTGTAGACCTATATTATTATATCAGTCTATAATCTTATTTGGTAGATGTATTTTAACAGTGAGAATAACAACAACAAAAATCCAGAAAACCGCATGTCAAAAAAGTCATAAATTGATTTGTATGTCAGTAAGTGAAATAAGTATTTGATCCCCTATCAATCAGCAAGATTTCTGGCTCGCAGGTGTCTTTTATACAAGTAAGGAGCTGTTATTAGGAGCACTCTCTTAAAGTGAGTGCTCCTAATCTCAGCTCGTTACCTGTATAAAAGACACCTGTCCACAGAAGCAATCAATCAACTAGAATCCAAACTCCCCACCATGGCCAAAACCAAAGAGCTGCCCAAGGATATGAGGGACAAGATTGTGGACCTACACAAGGCTGGAATGGGCTACAAGACCATCACCAAGCAGCTTGGTGAGATGTTGACAACAGTAGGTGTGATTATTTGCAAATCTAAGAAACCCAAAATAACTGTCAGTCTCCCTCGGTCTGTTGCTCAATTCAAGATCTCACCTCATGGAGTTTCAATGATCATGAGAACGGTGAGGAATCATCCCAGAACT